CTCGGGAGCCCAGCTCCCTGCTGGCGAGCTGAGCCCCGCAGCGCCGGGAAAGCTGCCCCTGCCAGCAAACCAGGAGTTTGTTAGGTTCTTTATCTTTTAGAAGATAAGCGTTGGCTGAGCTGTCAGCGCCCGCAGGAAGCTACGGGAAGAAGAGGAGCGTGTTCCTCTCACGTTGTCTTTAGAGGTTTGAACTGGTTTTACAGGGCCCTTTTCAGGCGCTTGTTCGAAAACAGCTATTTCCAGGGTGCCTAAGCACAAAGAAAACGCCAGGCTCTAGCCTCATCCTCTATCGAAACTCAAAGAAGTTTCCTACCCCGGTTCCTTGCCCTGAGAAAGGAATTCGCTCACACCTGAGCAGGCGAGAGACACTGCCGCGTCCCTGACACGTATATTTAAAATCACCTTCACTGTTCAGCTCACATGTGACTCCTTGACAGAAAAGACTGTCGCCAAAATCCGATCGCCCCTGCCCTGTACTACCTGCTAATCTCTCCAGAGCCGCCTAGCCGTTTATGTTAAGCAGCCCTGATTGCTCCTGCTGACAGCACAGATTTTCATCAGCTCATGACACAACCTCCCTATCAGCATTTACACCCGGCTCTCCATCGCCGCCGCGTCTGAGCGTCTCCGGCGCCACGCAAGACGCCTCTCGCAGGACGGCCAGGAGGAGCGAGCGCTTGAGCAGCGAAAATCTGCAGTTTGGCTGGCTTCAGTCAGCAAAAACATAGAAAAAGAAGTGAGTGTCCAAGCGGCACCATGCCCTAGAGGGACGCGCGGCGCGGCTGGCCAGCCGCTCCCGCCTGGGGAGGAGCAGGACAGCCATCCCTGTGGCTGAGCAGGAGCCGGAGGCACTCGCCTGGCTGGGCCGGCAGGAGCTGGAGGTGACCGCTGTCACCCAGCACCCCCGGGTGCCAGCCCCGCAGCCTGGCCAGCACCGGAGCAGAGCCGTCGGCCAGGCCCAGGCCAGACCTCAGAAGCCCCGAGCTGAAGCCGGTGGCCGTGCTCAGGCCCGAGCTGGAAGCGGCGCTCCCCGTTTCCGACGCCAGCCTCGGAGACCGGCGGCGCGCATCCTTCTGCAGAGGTCAGCTGCGGCGTGCTCCCCTGCGAGGTTTAACGGCGGCCGCAGCTGCCCAGGTTACCATCCCAAGCGACGCCTGCGGAGGTGCTGACAGCAAATCGCCCCCCTTTCTCTGCACCAAGGGCTCCTGCTCACAGTCTCACGAGCCGCCTGCTTTTGAACCTTTGAATCCTCGAAACTTTTTCCCGCAGAATTCCCAGTTGTTTCCCCACCGTGTAGGAAAGTTTGCGTAGGTAGTTATTGCTACTAAGGAATAATCATCCTCACTGAATCACGTGTTATTTATTTGAGATCATTTTCCTGTAGATAGCCAGGAAAAAAGAAACAGACCCACCTTTGGATTACGTTTCCTAGACGGGACTTTCAGAAGAACAACTCCCTTGCTACCAGCTCTAAGGCAGATATTTCTCAATTCTGGGAAAGCTGCTGTCACCCAGACGCAGAGCAGCCTACAGCCAGGGTTAACCAGGGCAGCGGAAGAGAAAGCCCAGGGAAAAATACCCAGGGACAGCTTTTCCACACTCCACGTCACACGCGACTGGAGCCCAAGGGAAGACCGTCCCCCTGCGCGCTGTGGCGATGGCTGGCACGCTAGGCGACCCCACGCGCTTACGCGTGCAGACGCCCTCCAGCACGTGCAACGCAGGCGATGAGCCAATTTTCAGCAGTTGCTTTCCAAGAACCATCCTTTCCTCACACCCTCTCAGCCTGACAGTGCGTTTCCCCCCCGCTTCGGTGACCCGGGGGAGTCAACACAGGTGCGAAAGAGGCTTCTTGGCAATGAAACCGCTTGCCCCACCTTTCTCCGGCCCTGAGGAGAGCAGATCCGGCTCAGGCTGGGAAATCACGCTCACCATCAGTGCCCTCCTCACGACCTCTTCCACCATCCACCTACTTTGCGTTTAGAGCTAATCACTCAGTAAACCCAAGCTACCTCCACCTTGGAGGGAGCAGAGAACGAGGGATGCATTTGAGCTCAAGCCTTACAGTAGACCCCTTGGAACCTGGAAAAGCTGCTCTCCCTCTGCACGTTCCCTTCCAGAGGCACGGATTAAGGTGGACGGGCTGCTGGGTCTCCTCCTCCATCTAAAAGTACGAGCCAAAAACACCACTTCCTCAAGGAAGTTGTGGACGCTTCCTCTTCCCCCAGCACAGACAGAGCAGAGGCACAGTGTTGGCAGTGAGGCAGTATCCAGGACACAAAAAGCAGACCGCAGCATTTTCAGGTATGCCAGAACTGAATCTCACTGTCAGCCTGAGTGATTTCAGCCCACCAGCCATCTTCAAAAACCCTGCCCAGCCTGGGATGATGTTGCCCTGTGCCAGCCGTCAGGCTCCAGAGGGGAGCTGTACTGAAGGCACTCTGGAAAGAACCAGCTCCAGTTAAGGTTCAGCTGCTAGGAGAGGACAGGCACCCCTCATGCTCACATTGCTGCAGCCACGTGAGATGCAGCGGTGAGGCAAGTACTAGCTGTCTGGACAGTTGTCCAGTCAAACTTAATAGGGCCAAGGAGAAAGTCTGCCAGACGTGACACCTAGACACTCTCCAAGCAGCTCTTCTACAGCACGCTTCTGCAGCAGCCGATTAAGGACTTTGGCTGGGAGCTTCAGTCACCTCTGTGAGGCTGCCCGGGCTGTAGGTACGGGCAGGGCACAATCCGCAGCCTGTCCTGGGGGGCTGTGCAGAGGTGTGTGCTACTGATTCCAAAGGATTAAAACCAGCCTGCTCTTAACGTCTATACTTAAAAGAATCTTCTTTACCTAAATGGATTCATTAGGAACACTATAAACCACACATGCAAAGCCACTCACACTACAAGGCGCACGGTGTCACCCCCGGCCGGCAGAGGCAGGGGGTGTCAGCGGAGCAGCGGGCTGTTCCTTGCATCCCACCACGCCGGGAAGACCCTGTCCTGGAGGAACACAAGCCCCTGCCCGCCCGCACACCTGACAGGCACCGAGCTGAGGTAGCGCGGGACGCCCTGGCTTCTCCTCCGACTACAAGAGGCACGCACGGGTCCACAGGGCCAGAGGAGCTTTTCCTCTGCGCAACCAGCACAAAGGAATTGCTTGTCCCCCTTGCCCCAGCAGCTCTGTCAGCGGAAGGGAGTTTGACAGTTTCTTCTCTCACAACCGCAATCAGAAGCTGTACCAGAACCCCTCACTCTGTGGAGGGAGGGTCTTCAGATCACGCGTAGCAGAAAGCTGCTTTCTCCTGAGCCCACGATTACAGTTGTTCCGTTTTAGCGAAACTGGCCGCCACTGGTCTTCAATAAGGTGTCCCAGCAGCTACACACTGAAACTTCCCAGAAAATGCCCCCTGACTCGTCACTTTGGATTTGTTCTATTGACCCAAGTCTCCCTCCGCAGGGAGCTGAATGCTCTGCTGCAGAAATCAAATACAGAGCGCTGGCCTGATAGGAAGCAGCACAAATAACACACAAAGCATAGAAGGTGAGGCAAAAAACAAGACTCCTATTCTCACCCTGCAGCCAGAGACCATTCTGGGAAAGCTCTGCCAGCCTCACGCTCCAATATCTTTCTAAACGACATGAAGGCACCACAAGCCCCTACAAGCTTACAAAATTCCTCGGAGCTCTTCCACAGTGCTGAGCTGATCACGCAGACCACCCTGTACAAGGGCGCTGCTTGCTCCGGAGTACACTGACCAAGGCAGCCTTCAGCTCGAGGATTAGCTGTAAGAGTGGTGTAACCTCCCTGAAGTCAGCCGGGCCAAGGCAGCAGGTCAGAAAAGGCTGGAAAAGCAGCAAGACCTCTCAGCCCCCTCGCCGGACTTGATCGACATGCAGAATTTCAAGAGGTGAAATAGCAGCACCTAAATCCTCTCTGCAGGATCTGCTCTGGTGGTGGCTTTACACAAAGTCTGAGCACACAGCAGAACCAATCGAAACAGCATGAAGCCCCCATGGCTCTGGCACAAACACCCTGAGCGTAAACCAGTTGCTTTGGTTAAGAAGAAGTTTGTCACAAACCTGCAAATGCTGTCTGACATTTCCAAAGCTTTGATCGTGATTGCATCATTCGCAATCTGATCAGAGAAAACACAGCTGCCCGTGGCTCCTCCTCACTCCTTGGCCCAGGGCAAGAAATGCCATTATCAGCACAAGGTCCAGGTAGCAATTCCAAAGCCAGGCCTACTCTGCAGGCACATCTCAGATACCTGTAATGGCGAGGGTGGATATTTTACAAGGATAGTGCTATTATTGCCAAAATTCCAGGAAAAAGCAGCGCAACTCCTCTCTGGCCATGTTAGAATGGGCTGTACTGACACAACTGCAGCCGCACGGGGACACAGGCGGTGCAGACAGAACACAGCTTGTGCAGCCTGCCTTCCCCAAAGGCAGGGCCTGCCCA